CGTAGTCGTGTGTGTGTGTGTGTGTCGTGTGTGTGTGTGTGTGTGTGTGTGTGTGTGTGTGTGTGTGTGCGTGCGTGCGTGCGTGCGTGTTTGTGTGTGTGTGTGCATGCGTGCGTGTTTGTGTGTCTGCACGCTCACATGGACATGTGCGTATGTGTGGGTGGATGGGGGTCGCTGGCGTGTGAGTGCTTGGGGGATTACCACATGTGCCAGAATGTTTTATCAATTTATAACTAGTCTCAAAACGCAAGCGGGCGTTCCATTAATGATGCGTTAATTCCACTTTTCGCTGCACAATTGTCTTCACAGCTGCAGCAGCTCGTGCTGTTGTTGTCTGTTGATGTGCCATTACCCGAGATCGTGTGACCTATGTGAATGCACAGACGCACATCTCTATAGTTCACCCCCTCTAATTCTAAGTAGTATTGTTATTGCCTTTATTACAGTACTTACGTACATGTATATACATGTATTCGTGATACGCATTGTGCAATAAAACATTAATTCACTCGCAATCGTAGCAAACCTAAGGGATCTGTGGTGAATTGGATCTACCTGTCTACTGTCAACATAATTTTTCTGTCAAATGAGCAACATGCATGTGGGAAGGGGTGAATTATGACAAATCACATATATTATTTGTCAATTTTGGTCAATTTGTCAATATTTATGATAATATTTGTCATTATTCACCGCTGATGTTAGCTCTAGTAATATAGCCTGCGTACAGTCGCCGCAGTACTGCCTGCGGCAACTGTACGCGGGCTATAGTACTAGAGCTACGCTGATGTGGGAATGGTACGATTAATGACATATATATGCTTACATCGTAACATGGAATGCTATCTCGTTTGCACGCAGTGAGTTTTCCAAGGAAAGAGAGAAGGCCAGAGCTAGAGGTGACTTCCAGAAGCTACGGGAGAAGAAGCAGATGGAGGAAGACCTGCGTGGGTACCTCGACTGGATCACGCAGGCTGAGGACATAGAGGAGGGTCGGGGAGAGAAGACAGAGGACGGCAACGCGATTGAAGATGAGGAAGAAGAGGGGGAGGAGGAGGAGGACGAGGACCCACGCATTATGTGGTTGAAAAGCAAGCAGTAAGCGAATGCTGTGAATGTGTGGCAGTGTTATGTTAGGTCACGTCAGTTTGTAAATTAAATCATTGCATATACGATTTATGATTTTCAATTAAGGAAAAGTTGGGGGAGAAAGAGTGAGGGACACAGAAGAGAGAGAGAGAGGAGAGAGAGAGAGAGAGGAGAGAGAGCGCGAGAGAGAGAGAGCGAGAGGAGTGAGAGAGGTGAGAGAAGAGGGGAGAGAGAGGAGGGGAGGTAGGGCAGGAGAGAGGGAGGAGGAGAGGAGGAAGAGGGGGGAGGAGAGGGAGGGAAAGGGAGTTACGAGAGAGCGGCAGCGAAGAGAGGTCGAGAAGGTGCTAAGCGATGACTACGAGCGGCATGCGAGACCGACCGGCGCACCGAGCAAGAAGGAGAGAGAGAGGAGAGAGAGAGAGGAGAGAGATGAGAGAGAAGGAGAGAGAGCGGGAGAGAGAAGAGAAGAGAGAGAGAGCATAAGAGGAGAGAAGAGAGGAAGGGTGAGACAAAAGCAAAACATTACAAGGGAGCCGACGAGGACCTGGCCGAGACCGAAGAAGGACGGATATGGAGTCTCCTAGAGAAGAGAGAAGAAGAAGCGAGCGGCGTGAGAGAGATAGGAGCGAACAAGGGCAAGCAGTGAGAGGAGTGGAGAAGTAGTCGAGGAGAGAGAGGGCAAGAGATCGCGCGTACGTACGTGAAACGCTGGAGCATTGTATATGCATGAAATCAGTGCACTGGAGGTAGGTGGTAGAGAGAGAGGAGTGTTTTAATTGAAAGGCTCTGCGCTGGCTAGGATACTCAGATTAACGCTTACCATGTAAACGATCGCATAACCAGAGGATGTCTTGTTTGGATGTAATGGCGATTCAACAGCGAGCTGAGGGCCTATAATTATTCATTCAAGACGGCTTCCCGCACAGGAACTGCGTGAACCCGTGCGAACACTGGAGTATTGGTGCGGCGCTTGCTTGCTTGTTGGTGGGCGAGTAAGACCACACGTGTGTCAAACGCAGTGTTATTAGATCCCGCCACCCTGTGTGTGTATGCGTGTGTGTGGTGTGGGGGGGGGGGACAGCAGCGGTAGGGGTGTTTGAGCTGAGGGCCTTGTTGTCTGGAATGTATTGGGTAGAAGCGCCAGGTGCACTCACAGTTGTCAATGTGCTGCTTGTCGTCCGTGGACGCGATGAAGGAAAGGGAGTGAGGAGTTAGTGGAAGAGATAAAATCACGGGTGTGGGCGCCGGAGGGCGTCGCGTACCTTGAGGTGAGGAGGGAGGAGGGAGAGGAGGGAGGGAGGAGGGGAGGAGGGGGAGGAGGAGGAGGAGGGGGAGGAGGGAGGAGTGTTTACGCCGGCCGGTTGTGTCTACTGCCGCCCAGCACGCGCACACACGGCGCGAACCTGGCCACCATAGAATGGACAGGATAGAGTCTCTAGAGAAACGCCTTGAGGTGAGGAGGGAGGAGGGAGAGGGAGGGAGGGAGAGGGAGGAGGGAGGAGGGAGGAAGGGGGAGGCAGGGGGCGAGGAGGAGGAGGGGGAAGGGAGGGAGGAGGAGGAAGGAGGAGGATGTGTTACGCACAGCGTGCTCTACCCTGCCGCGCCCAGCACCGCTACACACGCGGCCAACCTGGCCACCAAGAAGGACGGATAGAGTATCTAGAGAAACGCCGTAGAGGTGAGGAAGGGAGGAGGGAGGAGGGAGAGGGAGGAAGGAGGGGGGGCGGGGGAGGGAGGGAGGAAGGGGAGGAGGGAGGAGTGTTACCGCAGGTGCTCTCCTGCCGCCCAGCACCGCTACAACACGCGCCAGACCTGGCCACTCAAGAAGGACAGGATAGAGTCTCCTAGAGATACGCCTAGTCGGTGAGGAAGGGAGGAAGTGAGGGAGGAGGTTTAGGATCTTCTCTCTGGACCTCTCCCATCTTAATTACAGATCACTGTAGAGTCTCTCGTAGCCTCTCTCCCGTCCTCGTTCTCACCCTCTCTTTCTCTCCCGTCTTCCTTGGTCGTCTCTACTGCTTACTCTTACCGATCGCCTCGTTTCTTATCCCTCCTCCTTCCTCCCCTTTCTACCCTCTCTTTCTCTCCCCGTCTCCATTGCTCCTCCTTTACCTTTAACCATCCCTCTTTTTTACCGCTCTCCTTCTGCCCCTTCCCCGTCCCTCTCTAACTCTCCTTTCTCGCTCTCTGACATGCAGATCAACCGCGCCACATGAACGCGGGCCGCCAAGAGAGCGGCGCGGACGGAGAAGAAGTGAAGATCCTTCTGGGAGGATAACGTCCCGCGGCGCTCAGTCCTCGTGCGAGGCTGAGGGAGGCAAACGAACAGCTGGAGGCAGACGCGAAGATTGAGAGTGGAGAACGTTCACGCGACGCTGCGCAGACACGAAACGCGGTGGCATCGCCACGCCAGCTAGAGGTAAGGTAGTGACGGGAGGGAGAGGGAGAGGTAAGGGCAAGGGAGAGGGAGAGGAGGTAGGCAGAAGGGAGGAGGTAGGGCAGGGAAGGGAGAGGAGGAGGTAGGGGAGGGGAGAGGGGGGATGCAGGTAGGAGAGGGAGGAGGTAGGGCAGGGAAGAAGGGGGAGGTAGGGGACGGGCGGAGGTAGGGCAGGGAGAGTGGAGAGAGAGGTAGGGAGGGAGGCAGTAGGGCAAGGGAGGGAAGAGGAGGAGGTATGGGGAGTGGAGAGGGGTGAGGTAGGAGAGGAGGAGGTAGGGCAGGGAGAGGGGGAGGTAGGGGAGGGAGGAGGAAGGGCAGGGAGGGAGAGGAGGAGGTAGGGCAGGGAGAGGGGGAGGAGTAGGGCAGGGAGAGGGGGGAGGAGGTAGCCACAGCGGAAGGTAGGGCAGGGAGAGGGGAGGAGGTACAAGCAGGAGGAGGTAGGGCAGGGAGAGGGAGGAGGTAGCACAGGAGGGAGGTTAGGGCAGGGAGAGGAGGAGGTAACACAGGAGGAGGTAGGGGAGGGAGGGGAGAGGGCGAGGAGGTAAGCACGAACAGCCGTGGTGAGCGTCAGAGCTGAGGATGGTGTCTTGTTTCTGCAGGCTCTGACGGAGACGATCACGAGGCAGCAGGAGCGGGAGAGCGAGTTACAGCGACGCTAGACCAGCTGACGCAGACTCAAGGAAGGATGGTGTTGGGAAATATTGTAACGTGGCGACGCGGTCGCTGGCCACGAAAGCAGGTTTAGATGAGAGAGAGAGAAGAGAGAGAGAGAGAGAGAGAGACGGAAGAGAGAGAGAGAGAGAGAGAGAGCGAGGGAGAGCATGAGAGAGAGAGAGAGAAGAGAGAGAGAAAGAGAGAGAGAGAGAGGGAGAGAGAGAGAGAGAGAGAGAGAGAGAGAGAGAGAGAGAGAGTAGGGCATGAGAAGTAGGGGGGAATGAAGTGCAAGCTTGTACAGCAGCAATCGCGAGCGTGCGACACCAAAAACGTTAGCGCGTTGCAAAACACGGCCGCCACGAGCGACGAGAGGCTGTAACAGAGACGCAAGACGATGATTAACAAAGTGGATTGGTCGGAATACGCGCGAGCAGCGAGTCTTGCGTCTGTCTGTTGTTGCGCTGCGGCTGCTGCCTCAATCGCACACCAAAGCCTCCCGCATCATGCCGTATTAAATACTGGAATCGGGGGTTAATAGTGGCAAATGTTAATATAATAATGTCATTATTAACCGCTGCTAGAATCAAACTTTTCAAATCTCGCTTCCATGACTGGCGGATAAAAATCCGCCAGCGCTTCTTCGATAAGAATGAATTTTACGGATGTTTTTACAGTGCGGTTGTTGAGGCTGTCATATAACATGTGTTCGTCTCGAAGATGGCTGTAACATAGAGATGGGCAACCGTGTGTTGTGTCCCTATATTTGGATACACAATAGTGTCAAGTGTGTGAGGTTGCGATGATGTATTAGAGCAGTTATTTTAATTTATATGAAATTAGTTATTAAACTCGGTACACTCAAAATCATATCTTCTCCATGTAATTGCAGCAATTAATGCTCACGTTGACATCAGTAAATTTAACTGGGTGATATGTCTACACAAAAAGATGTATGTGCCTTTCATTTAACATGATGTAGAGGCATTCTGATTCTGACAGTGCATAGTTGGCCTACACTTCCACTCGCGTTACACTGGAACTGTCGAGCGCCTATAAAATACACTGCTTCAGAAATTCGATATTTAGCGTTCACACGAGAGAAATACGCGGTCCAAGAGATTCAGAATTTCTCAAGCACGGCAAATAATTCGGCATCTGGGAAGCCGCGTATTTCAACAAATACCGAATCTATTTAGATTCCGTATTTCTTGGACCGCGCATTTTGCCTCGTGTGAACGCTAAATACCGACTTTCTGGCTACGTGTGAACGCGGCTATTGTTATCATTATTGTTGTCATTTTTATTGCTGCTTTAATCAGTGTTATGATAGATACATGTTGTCATCATCATTATAATCATTGTCATCATCATTATAATCATTGTTATCACTAGCAGAAAGTATACCCGTGGAACCAGCAAATGTTGTCTTTAAATATAAACTCCATGTAAGTGACACAGATAAAGTTAAATATTTCATGTAACTGAAAAGAAAACCACTGCACTAGGTACAACAGAACACTGGCACAGCTACTGGCCACTGACTACTGTGTCAGTACGGTGTACGTCAAAGCAGAGTGAGCAGGGGGGAATCTGCAGTAGGGGGGGGGGGATCTGAGACGTAGCACCATCTATTGAGGAATAGATTTTTGTTTGAGCCAGAACCATCTCCCAGACGTGGTGATTCTGAATATGCTCATACGGCGGCAGTCAAGAGACGTAGTGTAATTCCCACGTATGTGATGTGGATCTGCTGTACGCACTGCCATCTATTGACGAATAGCATTTTTTCGAATTTTTGACTTAATACTTAAACTTTTTTAAATTTTTTTCTCAGCCAGAACCATCTCCCAGACGTGGTGATTCTGAATATATCTTCAGTTAGCGCGATTGAGTGACAAATCAGGGCGAAAAGCGAGGACAAACAAACACACACACACGCACACAAGATTAGCCAAATTATAGTATAGATTATTGTTATCATTGTTATTATTGTTATCATTATTGTTGTCATTTTCATTGCCGCTTTAATTAGTGTTATGATAGATAAGAGTTGTCATCATCATTATAATCATTGTCATCATCATTGTTAGAATTGTTATCATCATTGTTATCATTGTTATTATTGTTATCATCACTGTTGTCGTTTTCATTGTCGCTGTAATCAGTGTTATCATAGATGAGAGTTGTCATCATCTTTCATATCATTTCCATCATCGCTGTTATCGCCGTTGTTATAATTAATTCTATTCTTAGTCGATGAGAACGTGCGTTGCTACGTCTTCATTGTTGAAGATCGCCATCTCACCACGTTTTCCGCTGTAGCGCCGAGCTGCATCGCATCAACAAGCGCTGTCGGCGGATGTGTCGGCGCGCAGTCAAGTCGCAGGCGTTCTACTGGATCGTCATCATCATGGTGTTTCTCAACACGGCCGTGCAGGCGTCCGAGCATCACAACCAGCCGCCGTGGCTCGACCAGCTGCAGAGTAGGTGGCGCCGGCGGAGTCGCCGTAATTCTGGTGACACGCGTTGTTCTGATACTGAGACAGTTGTTTTGAACGAGAATGACGAATTTATCACTTAAAATAAATTAAGTTAAATAAAAATCTTAAATCTTAAATAATAATTCAAATTTATTTCAAATTTAGTTAAATTTGAAAAAATATATATATGTCAAAAACTTTTATCACTACCATCGGTTTGCATGCTATTTGGAGCATGTCAACCTATATTCCTGCTACATTGAGCAAACCGTGTAGTTAAATGATCATAAGGCATAGCAATGACACTCAATCGAGCTTAGCTGTAACATGTCAGCGGACGATGTGCAATGCACTTCACTGGTTTTCAATAACGTTTAGCGTCGCACCATCCCAGCGCGTGACGGAAGATGCCGTGTTAGATATCGATGTACGTGCTTCGAGATCGGATTTCTTCGCTCGGACGCTCGCGTCGCTCTGTGTGTTGCAGCCGTCACCAACCTGGTGTTCCTGTCCGGCTTCACGTTGGAGATGATCGTGAAGATGTACAGCCTCGGCTTCCAGTCGTACTTTGTGTCGCAGTTCAACCGCTTCGACTGCGCGATCGTCCTCGGCAGCATCGTTGAGTCGGCGCTCATCTTCAAGCACGTGATGCCACCGCTCGGCATCAGTGTGCTGCGATGCGTGCGCCTCCTCCGCGTCTTCAAGTTCACCAGGTGACTGATAACACCGGTGGCCGACGGCCGCCGTGTTTTTACCGGGGAGCGGTGGAAAGGAAGGCAGGCTCACGCGCTAGAATTCGCGAGGCGTCATATTCGCGAAGTGTTCTATCCGTGAAGGCCGTTTTGTCTTGTTTGTCCATCTATACGTCTGAATCCGTGGGAATTAATCTGTTGTTTTTACGCATGTGTTGACGTGTACCATTGTGATGTTTCTACAAGCTTGACAGCGACAGTGTCAAGTGACAAACGTCACAGTATTGTTGAGCGTGTTGGTTGCCTTGCTTAAAGCTTATTAGGCATCCTGTATCTAAATACATTTAAGGTATTTCATTCCACATCAATGATTTCCAAACACAGACATGTTCATTGTGAACTACGAAGTAAGTAATTGCTACCTAATTTCAGCTCCTAATGAAGTGCTAACTTATCTCTCTCTCTCTGTGATAGGTACTGGCAGTCGCTGAGTAACCTGGTGGCATCTCTGCTTAACTCACTACGCTCCATCGCCAGTCTGCTGCTGCTGCTGTTTCTCTTCATCCTCATCTTTGCCTTGCTCGGCATGCAACTGTTCGGAGGCAAATTCAACTTTGCGGATGGAACGCCACGCAGTAACTTTGACAGTTTCATACAGGCTCTGCTCACAGTGTTCCAGGTGTGTGTCCGTGCTTGCGTGGGTGCGTGCGTGCGTGGTTTCGTACGTGCGTGCGTGCGTGCGGGCGTGCGTGCGAGCGTGTGTCCCATTCACTTACCTTGCCAGAACAATTCACGTTCAGATTTGTGACTATGCATGTAATCAGTATACAGTTGCATTGAAATAAATCGGCACGATATGTAAGCAGTTAGTGAGTAAACGTAGCAAATATTTTCTGCGAGATGTTTTTAGAAGGCTGTAATGCACAAAACCTGCAAATCTACACACACTTACACTTTTGTCTATTTTATGTGAGCGTGCTATATGTGTACTTGGGGGATTTACCAGCCAAATATGTTTTTTTTCTTCACAGATCCTAACTGGTGAGGATTGGAACGCAGTAATGTACGATGGGATTCAGGCGTACGACGGAATCGGCGGTGTAGGTGGTGTAGTCAGTCTCTACTTCATAGTGCTCTTCATATGTGGCAACTGTATCCTGTTCATGCAAACCAAAACTGAAAGCTGTTATCAGCGTGTGCCGTGTGATAATTTACATTCATCGTTACCCGTATATATATACAGTCGAACCTATTTGTAGATCAATCAAAGGAAACCAAAAATCTTTCTTCACGGTTAGATGTTTATTCCGTAGAGGTGAGCATCAACACAGGTTTTACTGTACACAGTTGATAACTCTTATATATGACATATATACGTGGCACTGTGGCACATATGGCACTGTTTTTCTTGCGTTTGCCAGTTGTCAAGTAAGTACAATAATTTCTGCCAAGCATACCTATGTTTCCTGTGTGTGATTTGTAACTTGTGATGATAATTAATGTACGTAACAAAATGCCTCTGGTCATCAGAATAATCGTATCGAATAGCGTCGAATCGTCTGTATTTCTGGGGAACTTCCTTAAGCGATTGTCCAGATATTCTGCTGAATGTCTTCTTGGCTATTGCCGTGGATAACCTGGCTGATGCTGAGAGTCTCACCAGCATAGAGAAGCAAGAGGAGCAGGATAAGAAGGACGAGAAGGGAAAGAAAGAGAAGAAGAAGGCTGAATCGGCTGAGAAGCTAGAGGTGGAGAAGGAGAATGCGAAAGGAGAAAACCAGAGCTCTGATGCGCTGAAAGTCAACATTGAGATTGAGTAAGGGCCGATCGAGCGGTTTGCTCTGTCGATATATAATCGTCACATTCTGTTTCATTATATTACGTTCCATTTCATTACAATTATGTTAGTTTCTGTTTCAATTTTACCCCCAATTTAATCCAACATTTGATTAAATAATTTGAAAACAGATGTACGTAGCTATGTACACCGTGTATGTATCGTGGATACCCAGTGCTATATGATTCACAAGTAGTTCAATGCAAGGGTTTCTTAATAATCGGGGAATCTATTCAATTGCATATATGTGTGAATTTTGCAATCCTTCAGTCTGTTTGGGTCAGTTTGTTTTAATTTTAAGAATCTGTTGTAGGTCGACGGATACGTTTACTGAGAATGGAGCACCACCACGGCAAGTAGATGGCACTGGCAATATTCAGGACAAGAACTCTGGTAAAATTGCAAAATTCGTTATCATCCTCATCGGAATTTCTTCTATTTGACGACGAAACGAAGGCATCGTTTCTGCTCTTCATCGAAACGTGTGCAATGCATGTTGGCCGCATCTGATGCATGTGTGAGTGCATTATCATGGTGATATCTCCGGCTCATGTGATACACTCATTTACAGTTGGATGATGGCCTTTACGCACAATATGACTGCTGCGACACAGTTGATGTTTCGTAGCCACCTATACTGTTGACGTGCACTTATTATAGCATGCGTCCCTTTATCTTTCATACGAGTTGAGTAGACTGTGTGAGAATGTCAGTCGTAAATGTCTAATGGCATTTGCTCGTGTAATCTTATGCACTACAAACGATCGAGGAAAGTGTATCTTCGTGCGGCCGAGTGTTGGTCCACTCGGCGAGTCATGGCTCTACGTACGTAGCTGGTTTACACGATATTCTCCTCGGATATTTTCCTCACCGTGATATTTCCTCAGTGGCATGAATTGCTGGGGGTGGGGGTTGTGTGTTACTCTGTCCAGATGTACTTCTCGCAGCCACGCGTCATCATAGATCTGAGCTGACTAATTAGTAGTCACTCGTGCGCGGAGCAGTGCTCGGGAGTTACGCCTGAGTTTTTAGCATAAATAAATTGCTTTCATCTTGGGATTTGGCTCTCATTTCATATGTGAGCAGGACGTAGTAGTGGCTAGATGGGGACCGTGGTTACAGATATCATTCTAGCTCGCCTGCGTGCGTTCGTGCGTGCGAACTTGCGTGCAAGCTTGCGTGCATGCGTGCGAGCATGCGTACCTGCGTGCCTGCGTGCGTGCGTGCGTGCGTGCGTGCGTGCGTGCATGCGCGTGTTCACCAGCAAGCGGCTGGTTTAATGAGCGTCTGTCACAGCAGAAGTATGCGCAGCTCGCGCTTTGATTACTATGACGTTTTTGCTATTGAGTCAAGAGTCGGATGTCAGACAGTCAGATGGCATCCGAGGCACGCTGCGTATCAATCGGTGCTCGCGTACTGAACTCGCATTTTAAGTGCAAGGCCGGATTGATGCACTAAAAGCAAACCTACTATTAATCGTGTCAGTCTATTTGGCTCTCCCTGGAACACTTGGAAAACTCTCCGCTGCATTATTATTACAAGATGAAGCAGCAACGGCAACACTTTTGCCGTTTATGCGCAATAATATGTATCGTCATGATTCCTCAGGGACAGATCAGTTAGTTTACGAACACTACCTTAACTACACACTACTTAAGCAATACTACTTAAGCAAACCTACTTAACAACACTATTAAGCAAAAATACTTAACAACACTACTAAAGCAAACTACAACACTACTTAAATCAAAACCTGAGTGGTAGTACGTACGTACGTAGTAAGTGCTCTCCACTTGCGTTTTACAAACTCGATGGTCGAGATCGTACGATATACCTTTGGAGAACTGCTTGCGCGTGAGCCGTGGGAGAGACGGGTAACCGTGCGTGTTGTCTCTTGCAGAGGACAAGGCAGAGGAGACGTCTACGACGGGGTACACTGGTGCCAGGCCGAGGCGTCTCTCACAGCTGCAAGTCAAGACGAAGGAGAAGCCCATCCCGCCCTACTCGTCACTGTTTGTCTTCGAACCCGACAACAAGTAAGTCCGAGTGGGCAGCGACGACGTCACGACGGAATTCGGGCGCCGTCGTGTGTCGGCGGATGAAGTTTTACATTATAAAATAAGTTTATTATAATATAATCAGGAGTGAATAATAATAGATCTGTTATTATTCACTCGTGATGTAATAAAGTTTTACGTTAATTATGGTAAAAATGTCCTGTTTTTTGTATTGTGAACTATTTCTGTCCCTGCTACATTAATTAACGGTTGATGGGGTTCTGGCAATTAACTGTGAGATGAGAGTGCACAGACGTTTGTGTGCAAAAATGATTGTTACAATTAAACAAAATTCAGCGTTGTTCCTTTCTTTCGCCTTCTGAGAGAGCAGTCGTGAACCTCATGCTAACGTTGTGTTTTCTCGTGCAGATTTAGAATATTCACACATAAGGTGTGCACACACAAGTACTTTGGCAACACTGTGCTGGCTTGCATTATGGTGTCCAGTGCACTCTTGGCGTGTGAAGATCCCACACAAGTTTACCTTGTCCGAAACAAGGTAAAATACAGAATGACTAAATATACACTATTGTTGTTGTTGTTAATATTATTATTATTATTATTATTATTATTAATATTGTTATTATTACTGTTTTATTATTATATGTTGTTATGACTAATTATTCATTAAATCATAATATGTCTATGAAAACCACTGTATATATTAATATATACACCTATCATTTAATTCATGTTTACAGGTGTTGAATCAGTTTGATTACTTCTTCACGACACTTTTCACAATTGAAATTGTCATAAAGGTATGCCTTTATAGGTCAATATTATGGATATGCCCTTAGTTATTCAAATATTTGCTTTTTGTATGTATGATATCTCATATTATTTTCTTCTGAGCAAAATTTTCACCTATAAGCCAAGGCTTAGAATTTCGCATTTCCAAACTAATTCGAGGAATGCAAGCCGACGATCGTGTTTTTGATCGTGATCCTAAGGCGTGTTTGGCCATCGCATGGTTTCAGTTGATAACGTACGGAGTCGTGCTGCATCCAGACTCGTTCTGCAGAAGCGTGTTTAATATGCTGGATGTACTCGTCGTTGTCGTCTCCTTCCTCTCCATGGGCCTCACGTCGTAAGTATTCATCTTTCTCTCTCTCTCTTTCTCTCTCTCTCTCTCTCTCTCTCTCTCTCAGCCCCTTCACGCTATAATATACTGTATGTTATATACATATATATATATATATATATATATATATATATATATATATACATATATAGTTACTTATTACTTGTTACTCATTACTAATTATAATCATGTATGATACTTGCAACTTAATTGTTATTAACGCACGAAGGGTCGTTTTCGTATCAGGTACTACATATATGTACCCGAGGTAGTTTTAGGTTGTTTAGTATTATCAGGAGCTAATAATGACAAATTTATTCAAATGACAAATTTATTCAAAAATGACAAAATACAAATATATTTATTGTACTGTACTTGCGACTTGCAACGAATTCATGCTGCGTGATGCTTGCAATTTGTTACTGACTATTGAGATATAATCCGTCGTCACTATGAATGCAGAGTAATGTCGTTTCCTGTATTCCAGTAACAACAAACTAGAAACGTAATTAGAACTCTGTCTAGTTCTCAGTTGGCACTGTTACGTGTTCAATGATTCTAGCAGTTTTCTTGATTTTGCCCCCCAGTGCTTTACTACTAGATGTGCTGCACACGTAATCACTTACTGTCAAGGCAAATAATATAAATGGTCATAATGCTCTATTCCATTACGTAATTACTAATAAATGAAGATAATACGACTTGCCATTTGATGCCTCAGATGAAAATTCAGAATCAAATGCACTTTGCTAGAGATCGGTCTATTAATGTTTACTCTTACTAACAAATATGAGTTGATGCTTTACAGTCAGTCACGTTCATGTGACTCCATGCTAATTGCAATACGACCTTCATAAATTATAAACGATTTATATAGACACTCTATGGTGTTGTTGTTCGCAACACGAGTGTGTTGGTGATATACTAGTTGGTGTAAGACTGATGTAACTGAAAGCTTGTTTTGCTGGCCACCTTGTGCTGACTATAGCTGTCTTGGTGAGTTACGCAGGCATGGCTAAGTTAAAAGTAGCGGAGTAGCTATAGAGATTGCACCGTGTAACATCCACGTATAATACGTACAGCTGTTAATATCTATGCACTTTTATCCTTACATGTCATATATATGTATATATATATACATATATATATAATCTATCCCAAAGTAGTTTTTTTAGTATATATACTATATTTTAAGTTCATGTCACCCTTGTGTGTGTGCACTGATCCAAGCTGATCACTATAGTACTTTCTCTATGGATGTGTATATCGGTCTTCCCAAGACATGATAAAGATGTTTAGTGTAAATGGGTTTATAATGTTGTACGTGTTTCATGAAATTCAATCGTTGAACTATTTCCTGCCCTGTACGTCTCAGTTGCTACGTTTATTTAACCAGTTACTTTGATTGAATGTAATATCACAATACTCTTCACTTGTAGCAATGATGACTTAAGAATATCCACTGTATATACAGGGGCAGAAATTAACGTTTGAACACGGGAGTCCAACGGACTCCCTGTCCGCAGTCTGAGGTTCAAAATTAAAGATATTAACAATAACGCATGTGCTTATTTTTAAGATTCATGCAGTTGCACGTCTGCCAAATTTTATTGGGACATTAGCTGAAAAAATACGGTAATTCTGCTAGGCCGTGTTACGGAACGAACTAGTTGGTATCGCAGAATTTTCAGGGAGTCCGACAGTAAATCGGGGAGTATTTGACTCCGGACTCCCGTTAATTTGCACCTGCATATATTCTGTCGAATAAGAAATTATTAACTAACTAATTGGCATTTTAAAATTATGTATAGATTATTAGGCTTTGTAATCTTTTGGAGTATCTAATGTAACTTGTCAGTGTACATGTATATCAGGTTGATCATAATATTGCAGTGTGTATGCATACATACTAATTACACTGCACGTATTGTATTAGATGTGTATTTGTATTTCACGAGTCGTTCAGCACAGAGAAGCTCTCAGTTTATGATAACTTAATCACACCACTGCATGCACTCCGCATTTCTACTCAGATTCTCTGATGCTCTCTGTATCATCATTGTCGTGTTCACATCATGGCTACATCTTTTTTCTCGTCAAGGGACTTCATCTCCGTGATCAAGATTCTACGTATGCTAAGAGTTCTGCGTCCTCTCAGGGCTATCAATCGAGCAAAGGGGCTCAAGGTTTGTGCTTGTTTCATACAGACTGCTATCAGTCAACACATGCGCGTGCAAAGTACAGGCAACAGAGTTGTGTTAGCATCCGTTCGTAGCTACATTTGCCTTCCTTCTTCTAATCAGTTTGTATTTAAAGAATTATGCATAGTATACCGTATTCTTGTGGAGGCTCGAGATGAAATGCTTTAGTAACAGTAACACCAAAGTTTAGCTAGATATTTCACTTATATCAGAAGCTTGCTCATAATGGTTGTGTGCCGTAGCTATTTCCCAGTAGGCGTCTGTGGCTCTACGGTGTTTATGTGATGTTCTCTTGTTTGTTCGGCAGCACGTTGTTCAGTGCGTCATCGTGGCGGTGCGAACCATCGGTAACATCATGCTCGTCATGTTTCTGCTGCAGTTCATGTTCGCCTGCATAGGTGTTCAGCTGTTCAAGGTGAATTCAAGGTCATCCAACCTGTATATAGTAATCTAGTAGCAATGAAATTCGATCATGTCTGATAATGCCGTCACTCTTTATTAGCCATGTCAAATTTCCCATTATTGATTAATGAACATTTTGTGGGTAATGTCATGTAGAAGGGTGTACTGTGTCGACTGTCCAGTACAACGTTGTCACAATGTGAGCACACTACAATGTCTTGCAGGGCAAGCTATTCCAGTGCTCAGATCCATCGAAAATGACGGAGGAGACGTGTGTGTGAGTATATAATCTGACACTGCAAAGTTCCTGTTCCTTAATTGCTTCTGAGAAGATGTGGTAGTGGCCTTCGTGCTAATTTCGAATGATTTGGAAAGTGTGTTTTTCTTTGTATAAGTGATTACTGAATCTGCTACCTGTGTGAATACAGCTTAAAAACTGCTAGTTTTAATCATTTCTACATGTCAGATTAGGAAGTCATTTGAAGAGAACATTTGAAAGATAATAGAGCAAAAGATAATGTGAAAGTTTATTTCGACTTCATTTCACAATTTTCTTGCAGCGGACAATTTTTCGAGTACAATGAGGGTGATATTAACAAGCCAGAGGTGGCCGACAGAGAGTGGACCAACAGTGACTACAATTTTGATCACGTCAGTAATGCTCTGCTGGCATTATTCACCGTCACGACATTCGAAGGATGGCCGTTGTACGTTTACCATCGTTTGTCTCACACACATTCAACATGAGTTCAAGAGATGTATAATATGTTAGGACTGTATATAGGCTCTTTCCAGTCATCATTTGAAGACTTCAGTATCTCGATACTCTCTGAATAAAATTGACATTATAGTTTCACTGTCACTGTTATTACTCGAATGCATTACACGTGCAAACTGGTTGGTTGCTATCTATGCTTGTACAAGAGTCGTGCGAAGGTGTCAGTGATTTTTCCCATTGACTGTCAGCCTTCTCTACGCATCGATTGACTCTCATGCGGAGAACATGGGCCCGATCAAGGACTACCGGCCGGCGGTGGCCATCTACTTCGTCGCTTACATCATCGCAATCGCGTTCTTCATGGTGAACATATTTGTCGGCTTCGTCATCGTCACATTCCAGAGCGAGGGCGAGCAGGAGTACAAAAACTGTGAGCTGGACAAGAACCAGGTATTATCTCCTAATTATTATTATTATTATTATTATTATTATTATTATTATTATCAAAGTGGATCACGGCATTAGCCGGTGGCTTCTGGGTTGGCCGTGTCCCAACCTGAGACATAGGGATTCAATACAGAATTTTGTGCTTATTATTATTATTACTATTATTATTATTACTATTGTTATTATTATTATTATTATCAAAGTGGATCATGGCATTAGCCGGTGGCTTCTGGGTTGGCCGTGTCCCAACCTAAGACATAGGGATTCAATACAGAGTTTTGTGCTGATTATTATTACAATTATTATTATTATTATTATTATTATCCTTATCATAAGCATATTTTAAGTCATCATTGTATGCCACGAAGTAAAATTCTAGAGCATTTGTCATTTGTCACGCTATATGTCTCGTGATCTGTCCTTTCAGAGAAAGTGCGTGGAATTTGCGCTGAAAGCAAAGCCCATCAAGCGCTACATCCCAGAAAACAAGTTCCAATACAAGGTGTGGTGGGTGGTGACGTCACGTTGGTTTGAGTACACCATATTTGTCATGATTCTCTTGAACACGATCGCATTAGCGATGAAGGTGAGTGAATGATGTAGCGACAGTTCTAATTTGTTACTCGCTCTCATTTTCATTCTGATATTTTATTCGTTCATTTCACCCGCAAATGTGTTGTACCGTAATCCCTTTGATGTTGTACGAACGATTCACGTCGTAGTCCAGTTCTCCCAACCTGTTTCTCCAGTCTGGTTCCCACAATCTGTTATTCCAATTCTCTGCCACTCTCTAATCCTGCTCTCTTCCACTCACTAATCCGGCTTTCTCTGCGACAGTTTCACGGTCAGCCAGAGAAGTACGAGGAAGGACTGAAGATCCTCAACCTGTTTTTCACGACGGTGTTCATCGCTGAGTTTATCCTGAAGCTGATGGCGTTCCGCTTCCGCAACTATTTTGGCGATCCCTGGAACGTGTTCGACTTTCTCATCGTTCTGGGCAGTATCATCGACATCATCGTAGAGAAGGTAGCTTTTTTTCATTTTATTAATCGCATTCTTCAAGAATCAATAATAAAACCTTTTTTTTGCCATATGGGTTATTTCCACCTCTTACTCTTTACTTTGTTTGAACATAAAATTACGAGCCATGTTGGTCTACGCTATATGCTATACGCACTCCTGTAAACGTGTAAACAACTTTCTGCCATACAGCCCAATTATTCCCACCTCTCACTATTTACTTTGTTTGACCGCAAAATTAAGAGTCTACGCAATATGCACTCGTGTAAACGTGTGTAAACAGCTGATGTGTGCTTTCATGTACAATGTAGGTGAGCGAGAACCAGGACGGCAACGACTTTGCCTTCAACATCACGTTCTTCCGGCTGTTTCGCGTCATGCGTCTTGTCAAGCTGCTGAGTAAGGGTGAGGGCATACGCACGCTGCTGTGGACCTTCATCAAGTCGTTCCAGGCGCTGCCCTACGTTGCCCTGCTCATCGTCATGCTGTTCTTCATCTACGCTGTCGTAGGCATGCAGGTAATTAATTAGTCGCTGGTAATTAATGCTGGGTGAATCTCGGGTAGTTAACACCAGGTAAAACACATAGATCTAGGTAAACATAGGTAATATTAGCTTCTAGGTAAAACCTACTTAATTCACTACAGCTAAAATCCAGGTAATTATCTCCAGATAAAACCTAGGTGATTAACTTCAGGTAAAACCCAGGTATTTAACCGCAGTACGAGGTGGAAATAATTAATCTTACGATGTTTATCTGGGTAATCCAAGGGTTAAAGCATTTGGTCATCATCACATGAACCCAAATTTCCTGAGAATTATTTGTGAAGAAATTTAATTACGTTGAACATGATGTACAATTAATTATTACATAAAAATTACATTAATCACATTCAACATGTGAACGTTCGTGAATCTCCCCACAGGTGTTCGGCAAGTTTAACCTCGACGACAGCGGCCACATCAACCGCAACAACAACTTCCAGACGTTTCCGATGGCGACGCTCGTGCTGTTTCGCTCGGCGACGGGCGAAGCGTGGCAGCTGATCATGCTGTCGTGCATCAACGCGCGCTGCTCCGACAACAAGCTGAGTGAGCCGCAGCCGTGCGGTCACGCCTTCTGCTACATCTACTTCATCACATTCTACATGATCTGCTCGTTCCTGGTGCGTCCGCGGGCGACGACTTCCCTCGGGAAGCCCTGCTCTTAGCTCCTGCTCCTAGCTCCTGTAGTTATTAGCTTTTCGTATAGCAGTCCCGCCTAGCGCGGCTCTTAGAAGTTGTTTTCTTCATTTACAGCTCACAGTATAGTGGATGCAGAAAGTATAACGTTTAACTAAGGTTGTCTGAAGATAAGTCAAAGTGAGATTAGTTAGATTAGTCAATTAAATGGGGTTAATGAAACGGGAACCACTTGATTTCAGATTATCAACTTGTTTGTGGCAGTCATCATGGATAATTTTGATTATCTGACACGTGATTGGTCCATTCTGGGTCCCCATCACTTGGATGAATTTGTGAGACTTTGGTCAGAGTATGATCCTGGTGCTAAGTAAGTCCTATCTCCTTTGGTCAGAGTATGATCCTGGTGCTAAGTAAGTTCTTTCCAATTTGGGAATTCTTTTGATTACTATAAGCTAGGAGAGGGTCTATGTTCCCCAGGGTACTGCCGGAACGTACCCTGGGTACGGTCCGGTATACCGGAACGTACCCTGGTACTATCTAATATGCTGGACTGTACCTCGCCTACTCCACTAACGATTCTAGGGAGTCGCCTACGCCTACTCCCTAACTCTAACTCTAACCCTAACCCTAAACCTAACCATAGCAAATAGTGACCAGGGTACGTTCCGGTATACCGGACCGTACCCAGGGTACGTTCTGGCAGTACTCTGGGGGACATAGACCCTATGAGCATAAGCTAGTCATTGCGTTTAAGAGCATCTATTAATTTGCTTTTCTTCTTGATTTATTTATTAGGTGCACACTTAACAATTAAATAATCCCATTGTCTAAACTAAGGATTGACCCTATCGACATTTGTGTTGGTCTAACTCAACGTTCTGATTCTCGGTCTTCTTATCTGTCTTGTGATGGGTGTTTATACATTCATTATTGTTGAATTCACATTTTAGGGGGAGAATCAAGCACTTGGATGTAGTAGCACTGTTGCGAAAAATTCAGCCACCTCTTGGGTTTGGAAAGCTCTGTCCCCACAGAACTGCCTGCAAGGTAGGTTCTTATACATATAACATGTATAAGAAGTGTAATTAACATATTAGTTATTTAACTTATATTTAAATGTAGTTATTAGTTATTTAACATATATATATTAACATATAGATGCTAGGCGAATGTACTGTGTACGATTTGAGCTCAAGTTGGTTGAGTTACGCGTAGTAAATCGTAGGTATTCTAAGGCTAGTAAATGACGAATTTCCCATGTTTATTGAAGTGACACTCCTTCCCTATTATCTACTTCTGATATATATACATCTGCATATATGCATATATATTATATATATATATATCGTGCGATAACTGATACGCAGCATTGATGACGATATGCCACTTGTCGTGTTTTTTTTTTGCACATCTCTTGTTTTTTGTAGAAACTTGTCACGATGAACATGACGCTGAACAGCGATGGTACGGTGATGTTCAACGCGACGTTGTTCGCACTTGTTCGAACCTCCCTGCGCATCAAGACAGATCGTGAGTTCCATATATAGCTATAACATCAACAAC